ACTTAGCTTGTGGTTAAACCCACTTGCCTGGGTCAAGTCCACCTGTGGTGGAAGCTGACCTTGGTGAGACTGTGTTCTCAGAGCAGCGTGCAGCTGAGATGAACACTGAGACATGGCTTTGGAACAGCCCACACTGGACACCGGTGTTTAGTCTGTCACTGACACTTTCGACACAGCCAGTTTTCCTCTGGCGCTGGGAGTTGTCACTTTTTCTTTAATGGAGTGGCAGGTGAGGTAGCTGGCTGTGTTATAGAGTCGCGGTGTATGAAATTGACGTCCCCCTGATGGCTGGAATCACACACAGCTCCAAGCTACTCCTGAGATGCTCACACAAGGGGCCCAGGTCTGCCTGAGGCAGCCGAAGGTTTACACATCGCATCTCTCACCAGGGCAGATGCTGCATTGTTTGAGTGGTTCCTTGGTTTTTGGTTAGTGCAAATAGTTGTATTCTACACCAAGTCCAGATTTTCATTTGTAGGATTTTCCACAGTTGGATTGGTGTGGATTGTCATCTTCCCCAACCTCCAGCTCCATGAGTTGGGTGTCACATCCTCAGCATCAGGCACACAGTAGGCACTCACTAAGTGCTTGTTGAAAAACTGCTTTCCCACCCACTTCACCAAATGCTAGGCTTCTGGGGTGGTCCTTTAGAGTTCTGCAAACATTGGCTTGACATTTCATGTAAAACATGTTTAAGCTACTGAAACTAATAAAACTCCGGCACACTCAGATGTGCTTTATACTACACTAGAGTCCCGATGCACAAATTCGTGCACGGGTGGGGTCCAGCTGGTCCGCCCCGATGGGGGATGGCTATCGGAGGTGGGACTGGCTGGGGGGAGGGGCCGCAGGCAGTTGGCTGGCTGGCCCCATCTCCTGGTTGAACTCTTGGTAGAGGGGACAATTTGCATATTAGCCTTTTATTATATAGGAAGGCAATGGCTTGACTACTGCTAGTTCTGTCAAGTTAACGGTTTTGAGCAGATCTTGAAATAAAGTGAGCAGTTGAAAGACTCTTACCATTGCAACTGCTATTTTGCATTATACCCACCACAGCAACAGGAAAACCCTCAGACATCAATGCAAGGCAGCTGAGCCTCGTGGGTTAAGTGCTGGGGTCTAGAGCAGCCTGCCACATTCTTACCTCATTTCTACCTTTTACTGGCTGCGTGACCTTGACCAAGGTATGTAAGCTCTCTGAGCCTGTGTCCTCATTGCGGTCTGGGGATAGAGACTTGTGAGGAGTGAATGCCGTGAAGCAGAATAAGGGCTAACAGTGTTGGCATTGTTGTTGCTATTACTCTGTACAGTCATACCCCACTTTATTGCACTTTGAAGATATTGCAGTTTTTTTGCAAATTAAAGGTTTGTGGCAACCATTAGCAAAAAGATTATGACTCATGGAAGGCTCAGAAAAGAGTTAGCAATAAAGTATTTTTAACTTAAGGTGTGTATGTTGTTTTTTTATTTCTTAAAAATATTTTTTTATTGATTTCAGAGAGGGAGAGGGAGAGAGATAGAAAACATCAATGATGAGAGGGAATCATTGATCAGCTGCCTCCTGCAGGCCCCCTATGAGGGATCAAGCCCGCAACCTGGGCATGTGCCCTTGACTGGAATCGAACCTGGGACCCTTCAGTACTCAGTACTCTATCCACTGAGCCAAACCAGCTAGGGGTGTACATTTTTTTTTAGACATAATGCTATTGCATACTTAATAGGCTATATAGTATAGTGTAAACATCACTTATATGCACTGGGAAAACAAAAGAATTCATGTGGCTTGATCTATTGTGATATTTGCTTTATTGCTGTGGTCTGGATCTGAACCCCCAATCTCTCTGAGGTATGCCTGTATTATACTATTGTATCCTTAACTCTGAAATGTCAAGGCTTTGAAGAGTCACTTTTTTCATCGATTGAATTTATAAGTTAAGGACTATTATATGTAAGTCCCACAAAAATGCCCTTTGCTTTTAAGGAGGACAGAGGGCTTGAAACCATTGGTTTAGACAGAGAATGGCTAGTACTTTAGCACAGCTCTGCATTCGTCACTGGGAAACCTTCACGTTGAATTTGATCTCCAGGGCTAGGATCCTTTGGCTTCCTATTGTCTGCCTGTATAGTTCTCTCACTTTTCTGCCCATAACTCTTCCTGAAATTCCACTGAAGAAATGGCCATAACAGAAGCCTTTCTGTGATACTGCCAGTAAAGACTTCTTATATTTATTCCACAGAAACTGCCTGCATTCCTATGAGGAGCCTGGTGCAGTGGTGAATCGCTTTCCCCCTGTTGTCCGCGTCTAAGTGAATTTTCCCAAGAGTCTGAGAGGTAGGTACTATTGTCACCATTGTCTGGTGAGCTTCAGGATGTCAAGTAGCTTTCCAGTTGGTCTTCATTGGCCTTTGACACCAGGAACCAATTCTCCTTCCAAGTTTTCACCTTGGCCGCCCAGAAAGAAGCTTCACAACTCTTTGCTGCCTTAGACTGACTTTTTCTGTGTCCCATTGGTGTTCCTTCCTCGCGTGGCCCTTTTTTCTTTGTTTATATTAATTTTATTCTATTCTCTGGAATATGATTATTCTAAGCTATGCAAAATTTGGGCAACTTGAAGAATGAATGATATATTTTTACATTTATTTCAATATAACAAAATTTTATAGCTGTCTGAGTGTGAAGCTTAGGGAAGCAGGGTTGGCAGGTGAAAGACTTCTACAATGATTAACGTGTAGTATTTGATTCTGGGACTCTTTTTAGGCTGAGAAAGGTCATGGGCGGCTATCAGGTGTGATTTTCCTTTTCAATTTAAGAATTTAGTGGCTACTAGAAGTCAGCTATTTCTTTCACATTTTAATTCTTGTGTTTACTCTAAAAATTATGAAAAAAACTACATTGCTAAGCTGAGCTTTCTAATTTTTTCTTTGCAGATAATGATGATGCTTGAACTGAACAACTAAGGTGAGACTTATGACATAGATAGTATGCTTTTCTTATGCAGACTTCCTTATACAATTTAGCTGAATTGCTAAAATTTTATTTTAACTTTGGTGAAGATTATTGCCTTTGGGCAATCATTCCAAACTGTGGATTATGAAAGACTTGATGTTATATTTTAAGGTAAGTTCTGAAAATAACATGGCAGGATACCATATTTATTCAGCTTGAACTGAAGAAGTTTCAAAGGATTTTACAGTTTTTAGAAAAGGAAAAGGAAACATTTTTAATATCTGTAAACTGATTATGGTTCTGTTAATGTATAGATTCCATGAAGCTACGTTTTGTTAGATGTCATTGGGAGATGAGATGCTTTATACAATTACCTGTATCACCATGTATGTTTATATACAACGCTACAGTTAGAATCAGAGAGATGTGTGTGTATTAGTTGCTTTAGCAAATGCCAGCATACTCCCAAATTGGATATCTGGGAGGCCCCAAATTACGGATGGGAAATGTAAACATTGCGCCCTATTGCCTGGTGTGTGGGCCTAGCATTCCCCACATTTGTTTCATCAGAATAACGGCACACACTTGGCAATCCCACATTATTACGAAAAAAGAAACCAACTGTCAACGTGTCCTGATAAATTTATAAACAACAAATTCCAAGGAACTTCTAAGACTTAATTTGGTAGATGTATATAACCAGTCATCTGAGAGAGGTTGTTAGGTTGCATAATCTGGGTCATAATTTGATGTAGAGATTCTAATCATCAGTGCTGTACAATAAAACTTTGTGTCTGGTAAGGCAGTTAGAGACCTAGTAAAATACTGGGGTAAATGATAGATGACAATTACGCCCATCCGTTCCACCCTCCTAACACAACAGGGAACTTCGGTGTTCACATATCTTAAATGTTGTGTGAAAGGAACAACCTGGGGACGGGAGCTGCTGGAGGAAGTATTCAGTGTTGTTGACTGTGCCAAGTGGTTCTGAGGGCCCAGCGGTTAGTTAGCAGCGTGGTAGGTGAAGCGGGGTGGGAGCACCATCAGAAGGAACAGTGTGTGCCAAGGCGAAGGCAAGGGAGAGTGGGCTGGGCAAGTGGAATTGAATTTCAGTTCCATCTGACTGCTTTTCTGAAGGACTGAAGCCGAGAATGCAGAGCAGGGCCAACTGTCTTGCCTTAGAAGTTGGACTCAGACTTGAATCTGTGGAGAACTGCTGAAGAATGTTAAGGAGGGGTATTCGGCAGATACTTGTCCTAAGTCAGAATATTTGGTGTGCTTTTTCAGTTTTGTTCCTCCTGTTTCTGGAAGTTGAAGTTGTTTAAGCAAGACTGCAAAGATTTAAACAAAGGAACTGATGTAGCACATCTTTACATATGCCAGGAAATTAAGAGGCTTGAGAATGTTTGAACTTCCTCTTTAACATTAATTTAGTCTGGGCGTTGGGCAGAGTGATCCATTGGCAGTCAAAAGTCTCCAAGAGGGTCCGACTGGTGTGGCTCAGTGGTTGAATGTTGACCTATGGACCAGGAGGTCACAGTTCAATTCCTGGTTGGGGCACATACCCGAGTTGCAGCCTCGATCCCAAGTGTGGGGCGTGCAGGAGGCAGCCAATCAATGAGTCACTCTCATCATTGATGTTTCTATCTCTCTCTCCCTCTCCCTTCCTCTCTGAAATCAATAAAAAATAAAAAAAGTCTCCAAGCGGTCTGTACCTTTGATTGCCTCAGACTTTTGTTGGCCAATTTAAATTGTATTAATTATAGCAGTAATTACTATAGGAGTAATTTAAAATAGCCAGTTGGAGTTAGGGACAAGTTGCTACAGCTTTTACCAGAAGAGTATATAGCTGGAAATACAGAATTCTTGCACGTTATAGGAAGTGTTCAGTTACATTACCCTGGGCCACATTTGCATATAAGTAGGAGTTAGCCAGGTAACGTTTACTGCAGTGATTTTGCAAATTCATCCTAGTAATTTCAAAATTATTGTTCATGTTTTAATTATCTTCCCATTGAGGGATTCCCAATATCTCCTCTCACATTACATTTCCATTTTTATTCTAGAGCTGTGTTGTCCAGTATAGCTGTTGGCTCTCTAAATATGGCTATTCAAATGAGCTCAAATTAAATCCAATTTAAAATTCAGTTCCTCACTCCCCCCAACCATATGCCAAGTGCTCAGTAGCCTGTGGTGACTGGCTGCCATATGGGACACCGCAGATGGAGGACATCTCCACCATTGCGGAAGGTTCTCTTAGTGCCACTCTAAAGGTTGTCTTTTACAAATTTTAATATACTAACGGCCACTTAATAAAAAACTCACAGATTAAGTGATATAGTGTGATTCAAAATAAACTGGGGAGAAGGGAGAATGGGGAGTTACAGAGGAAATAGGATTTGCCATCAGTTGGTAATTGGTGAAGCTAGGTTTAGGGTCCATGGGGTATCATTGTATTATTCTCATTTAGAAATTTTGTGTATGTTTGAAATTTTCCATAATAAAGAATTAAAACAGAAGCTTAAATAGGAACAGCACGTAGAAGCAGCCATCTCTAAATGAGCATCTGAAATCCCACCTGTAGTGTAGGAAGGTTTTTAATCCTGCCCCAGGGTTTCCCCTAAGCGGGTACACATAGCACCTTGTTTTTATTTAAGGGTTACTTCATTCCCCCTCAGAACACACAAATAGCAGCACTGGCTCGCGCTACTTGTGGGCAGAATGAGTCTGTGGGTAGAATGTGCTAGATTACATTATGTTTAAAATTCTGTTGCTGCTGACGTTAATTTTGGCAGACTCAACGTAGTGTTCCCAGTGAAGAGAATAGAGTTCATTTACTCAGTGGTTGGCTTATTTTTGTTCATGGCCAAATCAGTCAGCTTCTGCGTCTGGTTTCCTGGTTACCAGCTCCTATGGTGACAGCACTGGAAGAAGCGGGGGTCATGGAGAAAACCTCTGGCAGGAGAGCAAAGCCGTGGGTCAACAGTGTCTGTCACGGTGTCACCAAGGGCTGTTTGAGGTTGTCACCCAGACTTGCCTACTCCAGTCTCCTACTACATCTCTAACAAATGGTGGCTGGGCTTTTTGTGAGTAGAGAGAAACGGTTGAGAGCAAGGTGTTTGGGGTCAGACTTGGCTTGGAGTGCCAGCTTCAGCCAGCTGAGACCCAAGAAAGGGAAGACTGGGCCCTCGCCAGCTGCCGCAGGGGGTAATGGGAGGGTAGGCCTGGCGCATGGTTGAGTGCTCCATAAATGACAGCTCTCGCTGTTAGGTATTCTCTGTGCAGAAAGGAATTGGGCCTCTGTGTTTATTTCCCTTAAATGCTGATATTTCTAGAATCGTGTGGAGCATTGTACAGGTCTAAAGGAATGTAATGGTACTTTCTTATTTTACAGGCTTCTGAAGTCAGAGATCTTGAGATTAATAATGGCAGGAAAGTCCTCACTTTTTAAAGTAATTCTCCTTGGAGATGGTGGCGTTGGAAAGAGTTCTCTAATGAACAGATATGTGACTAATAAGTTTGACACCCAGCTCTTCCATACAATAGGTGTGGAATTTTTAAATAAAGAGTTGGAGGTAGATGGACACTTTGTGACCATGCAGATTTGGGATACGGCCGGTCAGGAGAGATTCCGAAGCCTGAGGACGCCCTTTTACAGAGGTTCTGACTGTTGCCTGCTCACTTTTAGTGTCGATGATTCTCAAAGCTTCCAGAACTTGAATAACTGGAAGAAAGAATTCATATATTACGCAGATGTAAAAGAGCCCGAAAGCTTTCCTTTTGTCATTTTGGGCAACAAGATCGACATAAACGAACGGCAGGTGTCTGCAGAAGAAGCCGAAGCCTGGTGCCGGGACAACGGCGACTACCCTTACTTCGAAACCAGTGCAAAAGATGCCACGAACGTGGCAGCGGCCTTTGAGGAAGCGGTGCGAAGAGTGCTTGCCACTGAGGATAGGTCGGATCACTTGATTCAGACAGACACCGTCAGTCTGCACCGGAAGCCCAAGCCCAGCTCCTCTTGCTGTTGATCCTGATGAGGTTTAACCAACTCACACACACATATGAATAAACATGGGGAGAGGAGAATTAGCATTTGCAGCAATAGATCATATACTCATAAAATTAAACTAACCATATTGCTGCTCCATATGTGGGTGGGAGAAGGGATACATTCACTCACAGAAGAATCTTATTTACTCAGTAATGGCATCTTACATTTATAAGTTGTAACGGTTGTCTAATGTTTAATTTAAATATGTAAGTTACAGAGCTAATAAATGAGATGACCAAGACTTTGACTTTGTGATTAAAACAAAACACTTGAATATTCTAGAAATTGTTCTTTTCCTGGGAAAGTGGAGAACGACTTTTTATATATGTATATTTTTATGTAATTAGCATCTATTCCTGGTTCAGAGGGAAATTTCCTACAGCAATAACGTTAGATATTAAAGATTAAAATTGAGTGCATCTGTGCTGTAGTGATTTGATTATTTCTACATTCTCTTTAAAATTATTGAAGTGTTCACATTTTCATTCTACATAATGGAATTGATCTCTTGATCTCCCTAGTAATTGCTCATTTGTGTGCCACACGTTCGCTACCCCCTCAACCCCAGAAGCCAACTTTATCATTATTCTTAGAGGAAATGTGAAGGATTGAACTTTTGTGTGAGGGTAAGAGAAGACATCTTTATTTGGTCGTGTATTTATTTAGTGCCTTCTCCTTCACTAAACAATGTCTAGTGATTTGCTCTCGAAGATTTCTCATCTTGCTGCAATGACCAGACTTACTGATAAAACAAATTGTGATCTTTTGTGGGTAAAGTTCATATGTTGCACCTTCATGCCGATTCCATCCTCCAGAGGCAAACCAACTCCTAGACCCTGTGTCAGTGAAGATGGCACCCTGGCTGTGGAGTGGTGGGTTATTAAAGGACATGCTTGGGGCAGGGGTACATTTTGAGAGACGAAATAGATAAATTTCTTTCCCTGGCTCCACTCATTGGAAACCACTGAAAAAGAGTATCATTACAGTAAGCTAAGCTTTTGAAAATCTTATTTCCTAACATAACAATTTGGCTGTAAGGAAAATGTTATGACATTTTTAATTTGGGGAAGTTAAATCTCTTCATATTCTCAGGTTGGAGAGAGCTCTAGTTTTTATTATTCAATCACCTC